CATGACAGGTCCTAAACCAAACGGGCTTCAGTCCCCGTGACCACATAAATTAAATAACTGAAGCAAATGGTATATAATCATCCACCCTCCACTACTAGGTCCAGGCCTGTTACATCATAGTTAACTACTTAATAGTCTTCCTACACTGAGTTCAATCTAGCTGTGCAGGTGGATGACGTCATATGTTCGGAGAAGTTAACAGAATGGGTAAGATGCTATGTAAAGTAGCATCTTTCTAAGCTTTATGTACTGTATCGGGAAAATGCTGTGTTACACACATTGACGAACTAACGACACCGTTTTAAAGTTGCAACGAAATTAAATTCATCGTTAGGCCATTAAGAATGCACATGGCGGTTTGTTTATAAACTTGCAACAGTCGCAAGACGCACAACTAGTGTGAGACGGGTGTACGACTCTCTCAAATTGTGAGAGTCTGTTATCGATTCTCTTACGGTGAGTTAATCGATCTTTCCTTTGTAAATTCTTCCATTTACAAACAAATATTTGATGCCTTCCGTGTTTCTTAATTTTACAATCGGTAAAATGGTTGGATACTGCTGGAGCTCAGGCGTTCGATTCCTTGCATAGACAGTTGCCTCCACGTTCAAAACCCCTTGAGTACCACCCAGTTTCCTAACCAGTGGGTAACGAGAGGGTCCTTACCAGCTGGGGAGAGAAGTTGACTACTCCCATACGTCTTAACGGTATGATATTTAAGCATAGGGATGGAAAATTTTACCTTATATTCTTATTAAAACACAAGTTCTGCAGACTGTGATATGACATACAGTTTGCTAATTGCCCCGACTTAAATCACAAATAATAAATACGTAACACGGAGAAGAGAACCTAAAAGTCAGAATTCCCATGAATGCGGAACAGCGCCATCAATACAGACACGCAGTGCAATGATCATCTTACGTAACTCTTGGTGCAGCAGTAACTGGAGCCTGAACCCAGGACTCCGGAACGCAATATCACTTCGCTCTCCCACGCTACAAAAAAAAAGGTCTCATAGATACAAGAAAAGTTGCTGGAAAGAGAGAACATTATGAGCAGCTTCGTAATTTGTACTCTGCACAAAACAGTTTAGGGTGCTCAAACATAGAATGAGATGGGTGGGGTACGTGAACGCATTGGACAACTACATATGAAGAAATGGACTACCGTATTTCTCTTCACCGCGTACACCGAGCATGAAGACCTGGTCCACACAGCCTCCTTCCTAACCAGTGGGCTTTTCCTATCGACAGTCAAAGCAGTCGGAGAGTACGCTGACCCATTCACCATCATATACTACAGAGGTCAAGAATGAGTGGAGCCTTTCTCCTCCCCTCCGTTTTAAAGTCGTGATGCCTTGGTTACGGTGGTAATTCTGTATTTTATAATGATGAAACAACAGCAAATCAAATACGAACTTGTGCGTGGGATTCATTATAAGCTCATTCACCCTTCATAACCCACTGGTAACTATATGTACCACCTGGTATAACAAACAGTAACTCTTAATTAAGTATTCACGGGTTCCGTATTACTCTAAATGTAAACAGGAATTATTTCCTTAAATAACACTGACCTCTTAATCTTTCTAATGGAGACGCGCCGAATTTTCTTAGAGGTGCGGGCTGCATTCATAATTAAACGATTTTCACAACTCCAAGAATGTCGAGTCTCTACGCCTGTCAATCTTTGAAACTACATGTTAATTTATTTCCTCATTTATTTTACTGCAACAGGAAGTGATACAAGTCTTGTTCAACTTTTAAAAGACAGAAGTTTCTTACCCTATGTATCCGCAGAACTGGGAATATGATATAACTTTCCCATTGCACCAACGATTAGGTCTTCTCCAGTGGTATTCGACCTTTTTTGTTCGCGTACCCCCAGATATAATTTCTCTTCAACTTTGTACCCCCAAAGTTGTTGGTGTATAATTCAAGTTATACATAGTATATAATCTACACCTAAAATAAATTAAATAAATTACATCACTGATTATTCAGTGTTTATCATATAAAAAAATTAAATTTCACGTACCCCTTAAGATGTCTTCGCGTACCCCCGGGGGTTCGCGTACCCCAGGTTGAATACCACTGTTCTAGACGGTTTGAGGAAAATCAAGAAAATCCTGAGTCATGATAGCCGGTCTCCAAGCCGAGATTCGAAGGCGGAACCCGTCGAGTACAGAGCAGGCGTGCTAACCGCTGAATCGCGAAGTGCGAACGAAATCTAAAATAGAAGCAGGCTGTGTGAACCGGAGTGACGCAAGATCGGATCCCTGACGGGGTTTAACTTCCGGGTTCTACCAGCACAGAGTTATTTTGTTAAATAAATAACTTTATATATGAAGCATGACATGTTTTCTCGCACAGAGTCGAACGACAGGTGGCAGGAAGGTACAGCATTCTGGACGAGAATGTTTCTTCCCTTTCCTTTCTACCTGCTTCAAAGAGATTCTTTTCCTGCGACTGATAAGTAATAGGGTCTATAGCATTCAAAGGAAGACGGGGAATACCACAAAGGAACAGATCAGACCAAAGGTACTTATCGAAATGTCAGAAAGTTTACCTATAGTTGTATACGGGTGTGAAACTTGGTCTCTTCAATAAAGAGAATGTACACATTCAGGATCTGACAGAACAAAGAAATGAGAATATGGAGATATGCGACAGGGTGGTTGAAGAAAAGAGCACAATGATGAGCTTTGTAATTTCAACTCTTCACCAACATTATAACGATGATCAATGCTAGGAGAGCAACACGAATACGGCATAAGTGAAAAGCAATTTTAACCAAGGAACCAAACGGAGTGCGTAGATGGGATGGTAGCCAAACACGAAAATGGATAAAAAGGAAATGGAATATAAATGCGTGGACTCAACTGGCTACGTGATAGCCCCTTGGTAGACACAGAGTATGCCACCTGTAGACCTACGTATATGGAACATATACTCCCGCGCCTTAACACTTCGGCAATATGTGCAGCATTCATACAAAGCTGTTAACTCGACACACAAGAACGTGTTTCTTGTTGGAAATTCTTCGTGGGCTCCTGAGAAGGGGTTTCACAGCTTCGGTCAACAGATCGGCTGCAGTAGGATATCCATGCGAGGGGTTACTATATCATAACATCCTCTACCTGACAGCACAGTATTTTCGGGGGTTGTTACATCGGGGTCAAGGTAATTGGTTATCATCGCCCACTCTAGCCGGGCGTCTCGCGAACATTGCAAGTTTATAAAGAAATGCACCTAGGTGAAAACACTCGTGCCGATGTAAAAACTAAAAAGCATAAAGCAATTAAATTATTCGTTGCAGAATTCAAAGCATGTTGTTCGTTCCTGTTAGCATGCTGCAATGTTTTTACACGGTACGCACATCACGGAAATAAAGTACTTAAGTGATACGTGGCAAAATACATTTCTGATTATGATCCACAACTTTCATTTAAAGCATTTTTAAAGTAATTTGCACACAATGAAATACATTGAAAAATAAGTTTTTGTTCGTGCGTGTATTCATTCGATTTGTCAAAAACAAAATTAATGACTCCATGCCTATGCAATGTATAGCTAGGGTAAATAAAGGCTGTGCAGCCAGAACGTCTTCACCGTTTTTTGTCATAAACATTATCTTTTAAACAACAGATTCATACCAACATTAAATTAATATCACGCCCCATAAGGCATGCAAACTGATTTGGAACTGCGTGTACTCTATTAAAATATGAGGAACATCTTTCCAAGTCGTCTTTATCAACGACGTATTCATATTATCGATTCACGAAATGGGGAATCCCACAGCCCAGTCGCGTCAACACGAGTCGTGACCAACGTTGTTGATAAAACAAACAAAACTGAGATTAAGTGAATTCGTGTCAAGAGAAACACGCGTTAATGTGACTGGGTGCACGCACAAACTGCATACAAGAGCCTCGTGCTAGTTACATATTGCCTGAAAAACGCCACTCAGCAAGTGTAATACAACATGACAATGTCAACTGCATTGTCCTGTTACTTTTGTCAGGATGTGCTTGAAAGACCACAGCTTCTCACGGTAACAAGAATAAAGTCGGGCCCTGATGACTGAGGCAGCAAGTACCTCTCAGTCGCTCAATGTCTAGCTGACTACATAGCTCAACATCCCAGAAATCAACAGTGTACTTTGATCATCGGCAATAAACACGTCTCAATACAGGTTCTGTACGTGCTTCATAAAGACGCAACGCGTGAGAATAATTTCATGGTGCAATTTAAATTCATACCACTGACCGGCAGCGTCTTACAGCACATTACTTTCAAGACACGTAGGCCTTGTGGAAAAAGTTTGGACATCCCTGACAATTCCATCGATGCAAAGCTGATGTGCATGTTTTGTGTATGTAATATTCAGACAAACTAGTTTCTTCTCATTTTTACGAACACGTGTCGCGTTTGACATTATCCTCCAAGTGCGAAGCGGTCGGTGGATGCAAGTTCCTTAATGCTTACGTCACCGGAATATACGTTTGTTGCTGGTTACGTTAAGAAACGAATGAGAAACCTTTGAATCTCCTAACCCTTTTAAACACAGTGTAAATATATGTACCACCTGCTTTTGGAATGAACAATCTGCATGTTTATGTTGTCTGTATTTCTTTTGAAGTTTTCGATAATTTTTAATCAGTTACGGTAATTTAACTAGAAGTCCTAAAACAGTGTTTTCCTGAATTCGATTACTCCCGCAAATTTAAGCGCTCCGCTTGTTCTGATTGCCAAGCCATGTCAGGTTCAGCCCACACAAATTATAAAATTACCAGAAATGTACTTTCAATACTTATATCAACTTTAGAACAATCCCCTGCTCGGGCTTTATTACCCTTAATGACTATGTTGCAATTAAAACTGTCCAGCAACGGTAACAGCTGCAAACAGTTTGTGCAAATCAATACACGATTCGTATAAATGTAACCAATGTACATCACACTAACAAAAAATACACTGACGTATGACTCTTACCTTTACAAGACTATGTTATCCAATTGAAGACAATTTTTAACTTTCAGAAACCAGAAATTATCCATGGAATATTGTCACGTTGAAATGTGCAATCACCGGTAAACAAAAAATCACTTTCAAGTTTCAATTTGAATACGAAAGTTTACTTCCAAAGGCTTGTTCTCAAAAACCACCTGGCACTTCATCGATGAATACAATGTATCCACACACTGCACTACTATAATACCCGTGTAGCAAGTTCAGTGAAACTGAAAATCCAACTGCAGGTGATTGTCACAATTCAATAACTTATGATTCGCAGATGCTAGAATATTTTCGTATATCATGCACGGATATCTGGCTCGATCCCTCACACCGACCCTCTGTATCGTGGCCCGCGTAATAATGGCAGGTAATCACCATACCAACATAACCGCATGTGCGACTCTAGGTAACAGCAGAAAAAGCGTAACAAACCAGAAACGTCCTGCAACACAACCACATAAACACACACACCTTCTCACACACCGCTAATATCCGACGCCTGTTATACAGCACTCGCATCTACCGAACATTCGGTACGAATGTGCGAAGGAAATGTTGTGTGATAACACAAACAGCTGAGACAGCACAAAGTTACCGATAGTTCACAAATCCGCCGCTACACAGTGGCACCTTGCTAACATTCGGCGCTAGTATAGTTATCTCCTACAACCGTAGCGGCAGCTTCCCCCCCCCTCCCTGTCTGCTGCCCCTCTTTCCCCACCACCCTCATCACGACTTTTTATTCCACTCCCCTCCCCACCTCTCTCTCTTTCCACCTCATCCCGCTTTTTGACGGATATCCGTCTCCCCTCTCGCCCCTCAGCCATCACCATTCCAAACCCCCCGCGGCCGCTTCCAAGCAGGAAGCTACGCTCCTACATAATAGCACCGTACAGTCCTTGACAAAACTAATTAACCTCACTGTTGTCAATATCACGATCAATACGTCAGAAGAGAAGGGATTTAGTGTTGCATAGTGAATGTCCACATGCTCCTCGCTTACACACCCCCGACAGCAGAAGGTGCTCGTTGAACACGTAATTTCTGAACCAGGAGGTAAACTTAATCGCAAAAGGACGTTTCTGCCCCGACTTTGGAACTTTGGTTGTGAGCGGGGCAAAAAATTTGTTACAATTCAGAATTCCTACAGAGCTTCCCTGAGGCCTGTACAGGCGTTTGGATCCAAGATCCGTAAATACCAGTGGAAGAAGAATACGAAGAAGCTGTCATTCTTTATCCACCCCCACCCTGGGGATGGCTGAGATGGTAGGGAAACGTTTTTAAACAAGACTCAGTAATAAAAGAAAAATTAGCACTCAAGAAGGGCAACATTTGTTGTCAGCATCATCAGTATAGAAAGGCTGGCCTACTTTCATTTTCGTACTAAATTAATTTTTATTATAAATTGTTATGATATCCTCCTCACAGTGAAACGAAATCTTAGATACAACACTGCTCTTAAAGTAAAGTTTCTAAATCTTTTTCAATGTATTCCTAGATCTCAGAGTTACACTTCATGCAGGTACACCCTTTCAATGGGGTCTTATTCATCTCAAATTACGCGTAATCTTTTGTTGCATAAACGACAAAATAGACTTACAAAGTTTAACACCACCAGCAACAAATTCATACTTCTGAAACGTCGGTAAACTTCTGCCAGCACGGTGCTACTCGTCGCTGTGAGAAACTCAAATCTTGGAAAGTCTTTTACTGCTCTTGATCTTAAATCAGTTCAATATTAACTGACCCCAGTTAAAAATATTAAAGTCCGTCTCCATCCTGATCTTGCAAGTGGCTAATTACCAAAAGGGGTGCAATACAAAATAAACTTGGTAAACTAAAATGTAAAAAAAAAAGTTTGTGTTCAAAATTACGTAAAAGTGACAGTGGAACCACGGTTCCGGAGAATTTGACGTAAATACGTCTATACGGAAAGGAAGTTTATATATTGGCTTTATTCTAAATATTTCCTTTATACCCGCTTTACAATTGAGCCCCCCCCCCCAAGGTATGACGTTGGCGAAACGCACGGTTGGGTACCGACTACTGTACATTTGTTTTTAACTGTATACTTGTGTCGATGGTAAAACTTGGTGTGGTATTTTTACAACAGCAAGTGTGTAGTGTATTATTATTATTAATGTTTAGTGTTCTGTCTGACGACAGGTCCATATGAACAGGATCCTTCCATCCTTTTCTCGGACTGGGACCTGTTCATATACGTTCTTGGCAGATGATCCAGAAGTGATTTGCCATTGCCTTCTTCTGTGTGTGAAGGGAGTAATTGTTGGGATGCCACGGAAGAAAACTAAGGTAAGGTAAGGTAAGGTAAGGTAATGAAATGTTTTATAGGTAACAACAATGCCGAGTAAACAGATGACGTTTCCAAGGTAACATAACAATGCAGTTACACTTTCTGCCGAATGACACTGACCCTAAAATATAGACGTATTTACGTCAAAACATTAAAAGCAGAGTGATGCAAGAGTCCGTATACACTCACACGCCCTAAATGTGACGTAGGTGACTTGTGCGTGTGATGTGACTTATCGTCTTGGCCTTACTGCCTTACCTGAAGTAGTTGTGCCGTATCCCTAAACATGTTCACCAACGGAAATATATTTGAGTTCTTACATGTGCACAGGGCGTTTCAACCACCCCCTTCCTTATTTATAGTTCATGCCATAAAGCGTATTTTATTTCTCGCAGACAACGCAACATCCTAACGAAAGACAGTGCTAGTCACCTTTCAATATAAAATACTGTTCTGAATTTCTGTTCGCCACCAATCAAGCTCTTCTCTCCTCACGTAAGCAGGTGACCGCATCCTCCAAGACGTTATATTTTAATCAAGCTGCCAACTAGGTACATCTATTACCGCAAGCGTTAAGATCAGTTATTTGACTGTGTTCAAGTATGCAGCTGACTCGTACTTTTTTTTTCAATATTCCTATCTGTGCAGAGGCTATATTAGCATGGAATTGAACGGTGAGTCCGGAGGATCTGGAAGGAAACCGTTATGACCTATTCAAAGGGACTATCTGCGTAGGTCTATCTAGATTCCTCGTTTTATACTTTCCTTATTTTCCTATCGCCGTAAAATGTTTTTTCAAATAGAAACACAGATAAGAAAAAGAATTAAGAAATTTCAAGGCAATTTTCCTCCTTACAGAGCACTGCGGCCTTTTAAATCGTAATGTCTGCCGCTTCTTACGTAGCTCAGTATTTTCATAGCAATATACAAAATTCTCTTATACGATCTATTCATAACCTATTAATTCTCCCTACCTAGTGCAGGACATACTCATTAGATAGGCCTACTATAAATATTTAGGCCACCGATATTCCTTACCCGACGCCTCGCTTTTCTGTCCTTTTCATTTTTTCGTACCAGTAAGAAAATATAGAAATCTCATGTTGACACCTTGCAATCTCTGCGCGCTTATCTTTTGTTATCTTAATCCACGTCTGGCTACCAAATTCCACGTCAATTCGGTATTATTGTTTGTGTTTTATAAAATTGCACTGTGCCACTTGCATATTTAATTTTTTTTCCAACTAAATGCTCTATCCTCTGGAAATTACGCACGCCAACTAGATAATTACCAACACCGTAACAATAAGAACACGCCCATGTGACCAAGATATTTCGCTCCGGCAGTTCTAAGACATAAATAATTACATTTTGTTACACATTTCAATTCAGCTTCACAAGGGCTCTGTTCAATGAAATTAGTTACCCAGTTTGATTAGTTTGGTATTAAGATTAAAATTTCATTGCATGAGGAAGTACAATGTGGATTTAGAGAATGTATGGCTTTCATAAATCCGTGAAATGAGATAAAGTACAGTTCGAAAACAGTTGCTTCTAATCCGTTAACTACACGGTAAAACATACAGTCCATAAGTAGCAAATCACATGGCGCTTAGTTCTGAGAAGCTGCAGAGAACGTAGAGGAATTGCTTACGAACGCCACTATTTGCATGTCGAGCGTTAATTTTAATTGCATGTGTAATATTGGAGTTGCTGCACCAGAATGCAAGGTGCCTAAGAAGCGAGAAAAGCTTTGTGTCATTGTAATTTGTCTCACGATCCAAAGCTCACACCAAGATAAAAGGCAACTACTACTACCATGTTACTCAGACGTTTCGGAAGGCGGACACTTAGGAGACTAAGTAGAAAATGGATGGATAATTTGTTATAATAACAATGTCTCAGAGCAGACCCCTTCAAAAGTTAATATTTGCGCAGATGGGGTATTACAGTGTTCACTGCAGCCTGACACTAAATGAATCCATTCGACATTTATACGTTCGATTTCTTTACGATCAAATTTTAATATCATCCTTCCCTCTATAAGCTTACCTAGACATACGTCTCCCAATTTGTGTCTTCCCTTCAACTGTTCCGACTAGAATTCTGTGCCGGTAATTTTTCAATTTACTATGTCCTCAAATATGCTACAAGGCCCACCCATCTCATATCAGTTGATTTTTTCGCTCAAATATTATGCGGTAAAGAGTATAAATTATGAATTTTCTCATTTGCAATTTCTTCCATTCTACTTTTACTTCCAATCAGGTACAATTAATTAGGGCCTTTCCTCAAAACCCTGTTCTAAAACATTTTATATTTATGTTGTTCCCTTGTAGTGAGAGCTTACGTTTCACATCTATACAGAACAATTATTTTTTATATTTTAGTATCTGGAATGTGAAATGAAAGCAGGAATACTGAACTTAATGTTAGGCCTAGTAAGCATTTCCCGAATTTAACCTGATCTTACTCTTTTCTTTAACGTAATTATAATATTAACTTATAATTACAATATTCATTTCTTTACCTTTTCATTCTATTATAGTACAGTAAGCTCAGTTAGTCAAGAAATGCACGCCTTTTACGGAAACCGAAAGTTTATTACCATGTTCACAAAAGGAACGACAAAAAATATGAGTAGGGATTTTTCGTTAGTTCTCTTTCTCACATCAAAATGTTTCAGATTTATTTTCATCTTTACATGCTAAAAGAATGTCTCCTCCCTCTTGGTTTAAACTGAGAGTGTGTTTTGGAATATGTGTCCCGAAATCTGTCCGGTGTCCAATCAATCGTTTCTTGCAGTTCGACGTTTTTAACTGAAAATATCTGTAATTCGTTTCCAATGTATTCATGAATTATCTTGTCAAGATTGGAACAAAGACGTAGTACGTCATGAAACAGAATCACATCACTTTTCTATCCCAAAAAGTGGAAGGGGGGCTTCTCGTCCGCTAGCAAGACAATATTTTTAGACTTATACCCTTTCTTTCATCCACAAAATATTGGAAGTTCTTAAATAATGGTTCTGTCTTCTACGAACAACTTTCGGCCCACGTTAAGGAACTGTAATTCCCGGGTCGCTGGCCGCTGTTGCTGGTAAGAAAGGTGATAACTGTCATCAAGACCAGGGATTTATGCTCGAGGTACTTGGTAACTGAGAATACGATATTACTGCAAAGTTTCTTGTGAGGAAGTCAATACGATGGACTGTCGCTTGCTGCTGGGAAACTTGCATTATCTTGTGTGTACTGTACCAGCATTAC